AAGCCGCCCATTTATTGTTTTTCCAGCCGCCTCATGTGCATTTGTTTTCCACAAGCCGCCCATGTTTTATATTCAACAATCTCCCACTTAAAGACTAATTTTAATCTGTCTTCACACCTCGATCAATGCAGCAGTTTTTCAATTCTTGTTACTCTAGCATGCCAAATGAAGTTGAACACAACTTCAGTTTGTCCGTACTCATCGTCTTTGTCAACATGTCTGTCAGATTTTGAGCTCCACTAATCTTTTCAAGTTTCAAAATCCCATCTTCCAGAAGAGACCGGATAAAATGATATCGTAATTGTATGTGCTTAGTCCTGGAATGAAAAGACGGATTCTTTGCTAGATGGATAGCACTTTGACTATTGCAATACAAGACATTGTATTCTTGTTTCTTGCCTAACTCTTCGAAGAAACTTTGGAGCCAAACCATCTCCTTGATGGCTTCTGTAACAGCAACATATTCTGCTTCAGTTGTGGAGAGAGTAACTATCTTCTGCAGTTGAGAAACCCAACTCACTGCAGTACCTCCTAGAGTATAGACATACCCTGTAGTGCTCCTTCTGATGTCAACATTTCCGGCTAAGTCAACATCTACATAACCTGTCAGTATCGTATCTCCGCCTTTGAAACAAAGTGCTTTATTCATGGTACCCCGCAGATATCTAAGGATCCATTTGACTGCTTCCCAGTGTACCTTGCCCAGATTATTCATGTACCTTCTAACAGCTCCCACTGCATGAGCAATATCTGGTCTAGTACAAACCATGGCATACGTCAGACTTCCAATTGCTGAGGCATACGATACCTTCACCATGTGTGCACCGTTCTTCCTCCGTATTTGGTGACTCTTCTTTGGAGAGTCTAAAATGAACACCTAAAGGTGTACTTACTGGTTTATCATCTTGCATGTTGAACTTGGAGAGTATTCCGTTGATGTACTCAGCTTGTGATAACATCAAATTCCCCGACTTTATGTCTCTCTTAATCCTCATCCCAAGAATCTGCTTTGCAGCACCCAGATCCTTCATAGTAAACTGCTTCGACAATTTTTGCTTCAAGATTTTAATCTCATGCATGTATGAACCTGCAACGAGCATGTCATCAACGTACAATAATAAAATAATGAAGTTGTTGTCGAACCGCTTGATGTATCAACAATGATCTGCTTGGCATCTCGTAAAACCACTGCTACTCATGAAGCTATCGAACTTCTTGTGCCACTGTCTAGGAGCTTGTTTTAAACCATACAAGCTCTTATTCAACCTGCATACCAGGTTTTTCTTGCCTGCCTTTATGAAGCCGTCTGGCTACCTCATATAGATTTCTTCCTCCAAATCACCATGAAGGAAAGCTGTCTTTACATCTAATTTCTCAAGATGTAGACTCTCTACAGCTACAATTTTCAACATCAGTCTGATTATAGACAATTTCACGACTGGAGAGAAAATTTCATTGTAGTCAATACCTTCTTTTTGCTAAAAACCTTTGACAACCAATCTTTCTTTGTAGCGTTTGCTCCCATCGTGCTCTTCTTTGATCCTGTAAATCCACTTGTTGTGGAGCGCTTTCTTGCCTGATGGTAATTCAGCTAATTCTCACGTCTGATTTGACATAAGCGAGTCCATCTCATCTTTCATGAAAGACTCCCACTTGACTGAATCCTCCACCTGCATTGCTTCATCATAGAACTCTGGTTCACCATTGTCAATCAGCAACAAGTAGTGCAAAGAAGGCGAATAACGCTGGGTTACTTTAGGAATTATGGAGGGGCGTCTCAGTTCTGGTGTGCATGGTTCTTCTTGAACTGCTTCAGGACTGATCTGAACATCATTTCTAGATATCTTCTCGAACTCAGAAAATTTCTTTGTTTCAGCTTCGGTATTGGAGCTACTTGATTCTATGGTTGACCTGTCTTTGTACATCACATTTTCATTGAAAATGACATCTCTGCTTCTGATGATATTTCGATTTTGTAGTCCCAAAACCGATAACCGAACTCATCACTACCATAAACAACAAAGACACATTTGTTGGACTTAGCATCAAGTTTACTTCTTTAAGCAGAATTTATGTGTACATAAGAAATACAACCAAACACTTTTAAGTATGACAGTTTTATTTCTTTTTTGCTCCAAGCTTCCTCTGGTATTCCACCATCCAAAGGAACTGAGGGCCCATGGTTAATCAGGTAAGCTATAGTGTTGATAGCTTCAGCCCATAGCAATTTGGGCAATCTGACATGTATCCTCATGCTTTTGGCACGTTCATTCAGAGTTCTGTTCATGCGCTCTGCTACGTCATTCTGTTGCGGTGCCATGGGAACTGTTGTCTCTATCTTGATCCCATTATTTGAGGTTGATGGCTTCTCATACGTACTGGAGATAGCCTTCATAAGACCTGTCGTGGTCTTTTCCTTTGCTATGTTGAAAGCAACATTGTGGGATAACGTCAGTCAGATAACTCTAAGGGCTTGTCTGTCGAGAAGAGCCCAGTCTTCATTCTTCATGCCCTCTGGTTGCTTTCATCAGAGAGGTTGATATAGATTTTTCTGGTACAGAAAATCCTCAATCTGCATCCAAAAGCCAAAGTTCGCACCATCGAACTTCTCAATTTTCACCTTCCCTTCGTCTGCAACCATCGCTCCCACTCGAATCTGGCTTCTTTGGATCGTTTCTGACAATTCTTGCGAAACACCGTTTATTAAAACACCTCCGTCGACAAATTCGTATCGTCGACAAAATTTTTACTATTCACAAAATTCACTATTCATGTGAATAGTAATAAATAGTAACCTCGCAAAAAATTAACAAAATTCACAACCAAAAGCTCTAATACCAGTTGTTGAGAAATAAATGATTATTTCCCTATAACCAGATTAGTAAAAATACGAAATAAAAGCGAAAAAATAATACCCGAAATTGATAACGGAGTTCAGTCAATTATGCCTACATCTCCGAACTGCTGTAGATCTTTTACTAAAGGGATAAAATTTACAGGTGTTTACAAAAACACTTGAGAGAGAGCTAGAAAAAACTCTCTAGTATTAGGATAAAGAAATGGTTTGGGATGATCTTGAAGATTTTGAAGCTAAATGAGCTAGGGTATTTATAGTTGAAGCTTAAGGACTAATCTTATAAATACCTTAAAGTATAATGACTCAAATTGGTAATTATCCCTTTCATTTTTTTCAACAATTATCCGCCCATTTACTGTTTTTCCAGCCGCCCCATGTGCATTTGTTTTCCACCAGCCGCCCATGTTTTATATTCAACAGTACAAAGGTGAGCTTTTGTTTACACTAATTATCAAAAATAGTCATGATAAGTATTACTATAAAGGTAAGATTTTGTTTATGCTAATTATCGAAAATAGTCACGATAAGTAGTACTATAAAGGTGAGATTTTGTTTACGCTAATTATCGAAAATAGTCATGATAAGTAGTACTATAAATGTGAGATTTTGTTTACGCTAATTATCGAAAATAGACATGATAAGTAGTACTATAAAGGTGAGATTTTGTTTACGCTAATTATCGAAAATAGTCATGATAAGTAGTACTATAAAGGTGAGATTTTGTTTACGCTAATTATCGAAAATAGTCATGATAAGTAGTACTATAAAGGTGAGATTTTGTTTATGCTAATTATCGAAAATAGTCATGATAAGTATTACTATAAAGGTGAGATTTTGTTTACGCTAATTATCGAAAATAGTCATGATAAGTATTACTATAAAGGTGAGATTTTGTTTACGCTAATTATCAAAAATAGTCATGATAAGTATTACTATAAAGGTGAGATTTTGTTTACACTAATTATCGAAAATAGACGCAATGACACAGTTAGTTCACGACAAAGATTTGATATATAAGATTTAATGAAACATTAACATGTAATCAAATTAAAATCAATATCTATATAAAGAATAGAATACACTAACATATCAAAAGTAGTATGATATGGGATTGTGATGTATTGGTACTATTGGAAATTGAATCTTTTATCGTACAAGATCTCGAATAAAGAATCATAGATGATAAATCCGATTTTCAATGTAAATAAATTTTTGCTTCTGAGAAATTCATGATGAAAACGTGTTATGAAATAATCTAAATGAAGCAATAAGAAGAATATTAAGAAGAAAAGATAAAAGGAATAAAGTGAGAGAACTGTATCATTATATAGATTTGAGTTGTGCATAATGTTTTCTTTGAACTCCATATTTATATCCATATTTATAAGCATAAGGAGTAGATATCATATAGAACTCTAACTCTAATGGATATTCAAATCTTAATAATAAGTATATCAAAACCTTATATATAGAGATAAAAGATAGAGATGGAAATCTACATAAATAAATATTCATAATATATGATATTTTAATTTAATATTTAATATTTCTTTTATTAAAATTTTAATAAAAATAACTTACAACTTAATATGTTATTTATTATATACGTTATGCTATTATTTATTGTTATGATATTATTTATTATTAAAATATTATTTATTATTATAAATTAAACGTATATATCGAGTAAAAAATATTTGATATAAATAAATTATTATATATTACAAATTCAAAAAATAAATTCAAGAACAAAAACTTAAATTTAGTAATTATTTAGAAAGAAAATGTAATTGGATGACGAAAATATAACCGTGAGTAATTATTTAGAAAGAAAATGTAATTGGATGACGAAAATATAAACGTGAAGAATAAATAGTGAATAAATAATTTACTCATGATGATTTTTACAAGGTTAACTATTTGAGACAAACAAAATCAAATACTTTTTTGACCCGAAAAATACTTTAGAAACAATTCAGTATAAATAGCATAGATTATATACTTTAGGGCAATTGGTGCATTTAAGCCGAAAAAGAAAGCAAGAGAAATTAGTGGTCATAAAGAGCTACATATATTGAAGCAGTAACTTGTTACGCAAAGAAACATGAATGGAAGACAATCTTTAAAGACCCCCTCCCTTTTTATTCATCCACGACAAAATCCATGGCGGACAAAGCTCTACCACTCTTTTATTACTTGCTACTTAAGTTAGCTACAAGACTGGGACACGCATTACATCGGCTTTGGTTTTAAGCTTTGTCCCTCCTCTCGGACCTTGAAGAAGTGAAGAAATAGGTGTCTTGGCTGTTAAACTTGACCTTCCTAGCATCTTCTCTCGAGATCTGATACGACGCTGCCACGACTTCCTCAGGAAGTGCTCGGATGGCAGAGACTCGTCCGGCCATCGGGGTGTTGGTGGCCTCGGAGTTGGTGAAAAAGGAAACCCATTCGGCTCCTTCGCTGCTTGCTCGTTTCATGAAGGCGAAGTTTTGTGGCACCGTCAGTAGCTGCCCTTGCTCAACGTTATCGTCGAAGACGGTGTCGCCGTTCTGGTTCACCACCTGGATTCTGGCTCGGCCTTTTAACATGTAGAGTATCTTGTGGGCGTTGATGCACCATTGTGGAACGGTGCCTGCTCTCTGCTTACGGTAGATATAGTGTTAAATGTTATGTGATTCATTGTTTGATTGAATTTGAATGTGTGAAGAAAATTTTGTGGAGCTTACGTTGTAGAGAACGCCTCTTTCGGCGCTGAGGCCGAGTGCTTGGAGGATGGGGAGGTTATATCGGTTGAGAGTGGAAATACGACCGGCTTCAGGGTTGAAAATGTCGGCGCGTTCAGGGTCTGCGATGTTCTCCTTCATTCTCATGGCGCAGAATGTTTCCTCGAGGCCGTTGTCTCTTCCGCCGTGGTGGTGTTCACGGCGTCTTTCCTCTTCCCGGCGTTCTTCGCGCTCTTCCTCCTCCATTCTGGGTGGTGAAACCACGTCGAGTCTTTCCCTGAGTCTAATGATGCTGCCTTTGTTTCCTTTGACCTCTTGGAGTCTCCTAATGAGGCTGCTGTCGACGTTGAAAGCTTGAGCCAAGAACTCTCTGTCGAAGGCGCACAGAAGGTTGTTGCACGACGAGCTTTGCTTCTCGCGGCGGGGAGTCTCCCTCCGGCTCCGGCTCCGGCTGGGGTTGTCTTGTTCTTCATCTTCATCGTCTTCCTCTTCCATCTCCTCCCTCTCACTTCTACTTCCCTGCATCTGCTGTTGTGCAAATCTCCTTAGTCTCCTCTGTTCCTCTTCTGGGTTACCAGCCAGATGGAATCTCTACAACATTGTACAAATCCATCATCAAAAATGTTAAAAACCCGAAAGTTCCAGTTTTTTGCTGCCATGTTTATGAATGAATGAAAGAGAGAGTATATATATGTACTCTAGGATTCTGGTCTAGCTGATTAGCGCTATTGGCAGTGTGAAGGAGGTTGACAGTAACAAGGCGCTCATTGCCGTCATTGTAGAACCAATGCACGACCCCGGCCGGCAATGCGATGACGTCGCCCTGGCGGAACCGCCGGATCTTCTGGTGCTGGTCCTGGAACCTCCTAGGGCTTTGCTGCCCTTGCCCTTGCCCTTGCTGTGATTCCTGGAATGTTTCAGCACATCCAGGCATCACGGTGCCTTGAATACCCCTTCCTGTAAAGCATCATTTATAGCGACTAACATTAGTGACGGATTGTTTTAATTTCAGCGACGGTTTATAGGTTTTTAGTACCTTGGACAATGTAAACAAGCTGAGGAGCATTGGTGTAGGAAGGCAAGACAAGGCCATTAGGTTCAACGTTTTGCCTTAGAACAGAGACACCAGCACAACTGAGCTGCTGGCTGTTGGGGTTCCACCACTCGGTGGTGCCGGCTTCCGATCGAATTTGGGATGTGGGTTCGATGGAGTTGAGCCTATTGATTTGGCACTCATTTTGGGACTGGAACTGCTGCTCCGACCCGAGGTGAGCGAGGCAGCCATTGAAGAGCAAAAGGAGAGAAAGTGAAAGAGAGAACAAAGAAAGTTTATTAGCCATATCTATTGGTTTGTAAGTATTTTGTGATGAGGAGAGTAGGAGGAATGGGGTATTTATAGGAGAAGGAGGTCAGGGTTTTTTCGACATTCTTCAATTTGCATGGCTAGTTGACGCTAATGGCTTACACGTCACTACATCAGGTAGGGCAGGTGGCACAAAGTGTCACTGAAAACCTACAAAATCATCCCCTAAGAACAAACATCCAAAACAACCAAATGCCGCTATATGAGATCTGTTTTCATTTTTTTTAATGCACCAACCAAAGCAAAAAAGCTATACCATGGACGCGAAACTCGATACTGGTATAAGAAAACAAAAGTTATATGAATGTGGTTTAAAAATATATATAGAAAAGAGTTTGAAAATTTTCTAAGTTTTTTATATGAATAATACTGTCATAATATTAGTTTTATAGATTATATGCGTTGCATACGGGTGGAATATAGTCAGATTCAAGCGGATCTTTGTCTTGAATTTCATATAATTTGAATTTGAAGTTTATGAATTCAATATTTTTCTAACTTCGTTTTATTTATGCGGACTTCATCTATACGAACCTCTAGCCTTGCGAACTTTCAGACATGCATGTGAACCTTTAGATATACTGAGTATATCTCTCGAGTGACCACCAATGACTACGTATCAAGTACCTAGGTTTCTCACGAACACAATTTATGTACGATCATCACCGATTACATGTCGATACACATGGTTAGGTAGAAGGTATATAATTTTCTGGGTTCATGACTTGCTCGTATAACATCTGATGATGTTTATGATTGTTAAGCTAAACAAATTAGTATGGACAAAATTTTTATATCCATTTAATAAATCAAAAAACAGGAATAGATATATATTTGGTTCGTTTATGTTTACGATTAAACTCGTTTATTACCTTATTCATTTATGTACATATACAAGCTCGTTTAATGGCTCATTTAGAAGTTTTTTTTTTCTTTTTGCATTTTAAACATTAGTGAATGTAGAGACTAAATTAACACGTGATGAAATTTGAAATTTAAAGATAATATTTTATTCTTCTTGTGAATGTTATATATGATTTATTTAGTTGATTTTGTTTAGTTTATGAATATATAAAAAAACATGTTTGATGAACAAAAATATTAAAATTTTAAACGAATACAAATAAAACACGAATACCTTTAAAATAAATAAACGAATACAAACACAGTTTTCAAACTCGATTCATTTACACAACTGTTCAGGGGATGGATCTGAAAGTATAGGTGATGGTCACGTGAAACTGTTGGGTGGACGCGAGGAACCTACAAAGTGAAACGATCTGTCGTCGTCGTCGTTGTTTTGTTGTGGAAGGTTTTGCGACAAATGGGCCGTAGCATGTTACTCGCCTTGCCATCTGTTCTTAGCCATCTGTTCTTAGCTTTACACTTATTTGAATTTGATTTACATTTAAATGGAATTTGATTTTTAGGGTAAAATATACGATGATGTTTTATTGAGTTTTTTTATTAATAAAAGTTATAAAATAATTTTTATTTATAGGGTGTTGTTTTATTGAGTCATCCGATAATTGAAAGTTACAAAATAATTATTCGAATATTAATATGTTCTAAACTCATCTTTTTTTTTATTGAATCATCCAACAATTAAAAGTTTATTGCATTTCCGTTTGGGGTAAAAATACCCTTAGTCAATCTCTTTTATATTTCAAATTCATGTATGCAATATTATACTTTTATAATTCAAACAATTTGTTATTTCCCAAGAGATATAATATATGCAATTTGTTATTTCCCAAGATATATATATATATATTGTAAACATTATGTTATCGATATTTTTATTTCATTTATGGTTTGTATTTTCTTAACTAAAAAAAGAAAAATCTGAAAAAACTTTCGGATTAGGAAAGTTAGACAAGTTTGAAATCCACGCTAATCATGCATACGAAAATGACAAATAAAACAAATACAAAAATCATTGATAGATCCATAAGTAGTTTTTAGTGTGGACACACTAACAGAAAAAAATCGAATTTCAAATATTCTCAACCTATACTACACTTACATCTGTCATTGATAATAATTGAAGTAATACAAAAATATAATTTATTAATAAGGAATCAGATTATAATTCTCTGTGTATTATATGTTAATATTACAATATAAAAGATTTGAAGTTATATGATTGGAAGATAAAATATATTAAATTAATTTCAAAATATGATCAATTTGATATATTGTGTAAGTAATAAGGATTAAATGTTAGGTATTGGCTGTTTTGGAAGCTTTAAGGGGCTATGCTTTTGTTTGGTTTGGTTTAGTGATGTAATCTGTTAAGTACATGGTACCTATGTTTTTGGTAGAAGTTGTTTTGTTTTTTGTCCGATTGTACTGTGCTCTTTTCTTCTAAATAGGACTAGAGAGCTTTTGAATGAAGCTCACAATTTGGCTTAAGCACTCTTATGACTAATGAATAAAATCAATTTTACTGAGCAAAAAAAATAAGGATTAAATATGTAATTATACATTTTTTTTAATTGTCACTTCAGCACTTCCATTAATTGTTAATGATAAGTAGCTTGATTGAATGTATTTAAATAGTTTAGTGGCCTTATTGACAAAATTTTAAAAATTATGTTCATAAGAAAATAGATAATAGTAAAGTGGTTACTGTTATAGTTTATTAAAAAATATTGTGAAAAATAATATAATAAATATTTTATTTTAATTAATTTACTTTTAATTTTTTAACTAATTTATAATTATACATTGAGTTATTTAAAATTTAAATTTTTTATAAATTAAATTAATGGTGTTTCTATTAGGATACTTAGCGATGTTCGTAGAATTTTCCTTTTTAAAATTATAATTTTTCAATGATATTACTGCATATCAAGAGAAGCACTATTTCTAATAATGTCCTTACCCTTCCATTTTCCATGATATTGCTTACATATCAATATCATCAATATTTTACTATTTTTTGTAACAATATTTTATTATTTTTGTTTGACATTTGTAGTTCAATTAAATGATCATGGTACAAGTATGATTTGATGTACCTTGCCTAAATATTTTATTTTTTATAAATATTTTATTTTTTATACCATATAAATAACTTTTTTGAATTATTGTAAGAGAAAATAATCTCATTGACCAAAATGCCTTATAATATACGATTTTAACCAATTTTTTTGGATTTGCCAAAATGACCAACTAAATCGCAATGCGATCGATAATTCGCAACGCGATCTCCGATATCGTAAATTAGTTTCCAGATTCGCAACGCGAACTTCGACTATCGCAATGCGAACTTGGACTATCGCAATGTGAATATGTAAATCGCAATGCGAATATGTAAATCGCAATGCGAATATGTAAATCGCAATGCGAATATGTAAATCGCAATGCGATAGTCGACTATCGCAATGCGAATATGTAAATCGCAATGCGATAGTCGACTATCACAATGCGAATATGTAAATCGACTATCGCATTACGATTTACATATTCGCATTGCGATAGTCGACTATCGCATTGCGATTTACATATTCGCATTGCGATAGCGACTATCGCATTACGATTTACATATTCGCATTGCGATAGTCGACTATCGCATTGCGATTTACATATTCGCATTGCGATAGTCGACTATCGCATTGCGATTTACATATTCGCATTGCGATAGTCCAAGTTCGCGTTGCGAATCTGGAAACTGATTTGCGATACCGGAGATCGCGTTACGAATTATCGATCGCATTGCGATTTAGTTGGTCATTTTGGCAAATCCAAAAAAAGTTGGTTAAAATCGTATATTATAAGGCATTTTTTGTCAACGAGGTTATTTTCTCTTATTGTAATCGTAATAAATTGATTATTAGTAATTTTACATTTAATAGTTCAATTATAAAAATTCATACTTTATTATTTAATTTATTAATTTCTTATATTTTAGTCACCGCACTCTTAATGACTAACAAATAGATTGCAATAACTGTAACCCCCTCAGATCGATGCGGATAACCCGATCCGATCTGGAGTGTCACATTAGGGCCACCGGAGCGACCCACTGTAAAAATAGCGGAAAATTTAAAACTTTTATTAAAACATGTAACTTATAAAATGATTTATCAGTATACAGGAATAAAACAGATTTTCAGACTCAAATATTAAAACAAAATACAATTACATGCCCCCTAATCACTTGTACCGTACTCTGCAAACAACGCCGGAAAAACTCCCTTACTGATGTCGGTAGCTGCACTGGTACAATTCTTTTAACCTGTAATATTGAGTAATAGAGTGAGCTTCAGAAAGCTCAGTAATACAGAACTACCAGATGATGCTGAAGAACGTGCAGATACAGATAAACATACATTTCCTTATTGGTTCAGATATCTACAGATTTTTAGGCTGAGTGAGTTCATTGTATCGCATATAGTAACAGATAGATTCATTTTCAGATAGATAAAACATATATATATATATATATACCCCCATCCGTTTATATCATAATGTGTAGGTTCCCCATAAACCATACACCGAACGTATATGCCATTTAGACCCTGAGCACAAAGCGAGAGTCTGCAAATAATCTTCCTCCAACAATAACCCCCAGATAAAATTCTCCGTCGGTAAATGGAGATATTAAAAATCAAAACATAATTCAGATCAGATATCAGAAAAGAATCCAGGTTAGGAATCAGAACAGAATCCAGGTTAGGAATCAGAACAGATTTCATATCAGATGTCAAACCAGAATTCAAATCAGAAATCAGATAAAATATTCATATAAGTAGGGAACACACTAGAGTTTCCAGATATTTTAGAGATGTAGGATCCTATCGGCAGAAACAAATCTTCAGTTTACGATAGAATGCTGGAAATTAGAATAACTATAGAAGAGTTTGTTAACTGACAAAATCATCAGTTATTCATATATGCTATCATGATCATCTTATTCGGACATTTATCGGAAGCTATACGTAATCAGAAGGGTATTCAAAATCATCTACA